CCATAGAACCAAGCCCAAGTGGCCAGGCTTTGGATCAGTGGTGAGAATATGGCAGTGAGTCTGCAGAGAGCAGTCTAAGACCGTGGTGTCTGTCTTCTGTGAATGTGTCCCCCCAGGAGTAGTTCTAAACCCAGGTTCGGTGTCTGTGGTGCAGCTAACATAGCCCCCCTGAGGGCAAGGGAACATCCAGAATAAATAGACAATGACCCAGGCCTGTGGGGAGAGTAGTTGGAATTGTTGCCAGCTGTTTTGGGGATAGTTCCAGAGCTCCTCTAGGGGTTAGCTAGGATTGGAAAGCCCTGGAGAGGTTGATGTTCTAGCCAAACTAATAGAGGACTTCTAGATTGGTTGAGAGTCCTATATTATCATAGAGTGACTTATCCTAATTGTAGCAGAGATATTATTCAGTTTGCCTTCCCTGTCTAACTCTTCTCTCTTGGCCTCTCATTCATTGCTGGAAAGGGGTAATCTCCCCTTTGGCTACAAATCTGTCACTTGGATTTTCTTTCCTGGAAAAGATACACAGAGGTGGTGCTGAGACTGGACCTTTGAGCCAGTAGTTCTGAAACTTGGCTCGGCCTTAGGATCACCTGCACAACTTTCTAAAGCTTAAAGCTCTACATGCCAGAGTCTGAATCACTAGGTCTGAAAAGAACCCAGGCATGTATGTTTCATTAGTTCTGTAGGTGGATGTGGATCATTGTTTTAAGTGTGAAAAATAGTGGACTAGGGGACCAACTGAGAATATGTCCTGTTCACTTCTGATACCCTCCCTGCCCTCCCCACCTCTGCCTGTCCCCACTCAAGTAAGCAGGTTGGAGTGTGGAAGGGTTCTCTAAGGATCTGGACCTTGACACTGATGTTTCCTCTTATTTGTCTTCTGTGACCAGTTTACCCTTTTTGGGTCTTGGGTTTCTTCGGCACAAGACTAGATCATTATGGTGCTTTCCAAAAGAGACTATGAACTCTTTTTTGTATTTATATTAATGCAGGAAATATTTATAAAATGCCTACTTGGTACCAGGCATTTTGCTAAATGTTATGCAGCCTGCTGGTGAGTTGTTCTAAGTAGGGAGACAGCTTGGGATAGTGAAATCGGCACAGGCTTTGTTGAAGTTCATCTTGGGTGTAAATCCAATCTCTGCTACTTGTTCAAAAAAATTTTTTTTAAGTAAGCTCTACACCCAGCATGGGGCTGGAACTCATGACCCTGAGATCAAGAGTCACACACTCTACTGACTGAGATAGCTAGGCACTCCCAATCTCTGCTACTTGTAGCTAGGAGCCCTATGTTGTTTTTCTTCCTTAAGCCCCAGTCTTTCCTGAAGATAACAATACTTATATCACAGGACTATTATAAAATTAAATAACTATTAGGTAAAATTTAACCAAGGATGTGAAAGACCTATACTCTGAACATTATGAGGCACTGATGAAAGAAATTGAAGAGAACACAGATGGAAAGATATACCACAGTCATGGAATGAAAGCATTAATATTGTTAAAATGGCCATACTACACAAGGCAATCTATAGATTCCATGTAATCCCTATCAATACCAATAGCACTTTTCATAGAACTAGAACAAATAATCCCAACATGTGTAGGAAATCAGTAAAGACCCTGAATAGCAAAAGCAACCTCAAGAAGAAAGAAAGCTGCAGGTATCACAATCCCAGGCTTCAAGATAGATTACGAAACCATAGTAAAACAGTGATACTGGCACAGAAAATAGACACAAAGATGAATGGAACAGACTAGGGAGCCCAGTAATTAGCTCATCTAGCTTATATGGTCAATAATGCTTATATGATTAATCTGCAACAAAGGAGGCAAGAACATGAAGTGGGGAAAAGATATTCTTGCCAATATATGATACTGGGGAAAATTATTAGGTTCCTATCTCTTTCCATTCTTTAGCTGTGCCATTTTGGCTACAATGGAAGGGCATAGAGAGCTGCTTAAGATTTTTGAAGTCTCATGTTGCCTGATAAGTTGCTACATCCTCATTCTGATATACTGAGTTAAAATATGATTCAGTATAAGTACAAGGCTGTGGAGTGTATTGTTGAATAATCACCTATGTCCACTCACTTGGACAAGGAAGTATGTAAGTAAATAGCACTTAGGAAATGCCAGTTTTAAAGCTTTCTCTTCTCCCCCCCTAACTAAATTGGGGCACTTCGCTTTTTTGATTCTTGGGTTCCACACCTATGCACTGTCACTTATGTTCTTTCTTGTTGTGACTAGTTTATTATTTGATTTATTTGGAGAGAGAGAAGGAACACACATGCGAGCAGGAAGGGGGCACAGAGAGGGAGAGTGAGAGAGAAGCCAAGCAGGCTCCACGCTGTTAGCCCAGAGCCCGATGAGGGGCTCTCTCCCACCGTGACCCTGAGATCATGACCTGAGATGAAATCTATAATCAGACACTTAACCAACTGAGCCACCCAAGTGCTCCAATGGTATTTTAAATTAAAGCAATAATTAAATGCCTCAGTTATCTGAGAAATTCTATTAAAAATCTCTTCAACTTAATAAGACTCTGGTTTTGTCCTGACCTCTTTCATGTGCCTTGGTTTTCTACAAAGTTGTGATCAACTTGTGTGTTGTTTTGAGCTCTTCCTGCTTTCAGTGTTCATAAGTTATGAACTTTTTTTTTTTTTATTCCTTGAACCACGGAACTTGAACTGTTTGAGGTGGTTTTTCAGTTTTTGAATCTGTGGATCTTTTTTAAAAAAATTTTTTTAACGTTTATTTTTGAGAGAGAGAGAGACAGAGCACGAGCTGGGGAGGGGCAGAGAGAGAGGGAGACACAGAATTGGAAACAGGTTCCAGGCTCTGAGCTGTCAGCACAGAGTCTGATGCGGGGCTCGAACCCACAGACCGTGATATCATGACCTGAGCCGAAGTCGGACGCTTAAGGGACTGAGCCACCCAGGTGCCCCAAATCTGTGGATCTTGACTAACCTCTTAAAAACAATGACATAATATAGAATTGAAAATGCCAAAATGTTTCCATGAAATGTTTACTTCAGTTTACATTTATGTGTGGATATGTTTGTTTACTATTTGTTTACTTAGTCATGAATTGCTTTGGCTCCCAAAACAAAGATCGTAAGTGAAATATAACTCCATATCCCCTCTGCCCAAGAGTGACATCTAAGAAACAAATCTTTATCAAATTAATAACTTAAAAGATCCATTTAAATAGGCATGGATAGGACAATGGCCTTATGTATAAAGGGGATACCGTTGTTAGTTCTTTGGTTACTGTGCTTGCCCATGCTCTTCCTTTGGCCTTCTGTTAGATTTGCCAATTTCTATCTGAGGAAAGCTGAAACACATATAGTCCACAAGTTACAAGCCATTATTTTATAATCCATCCTCATAAATTCATTTTATGATTCTTTTGTGTAAGTTGAAAAACTTCTGTGTAGTCTTGACTTGCAGAGAGGTATTGACTTTACACTTCTTCCTCATGTCATTAGCGCTCATCTCCATCAGCTAGGACTTTCCCATCTTTGGTTGTTTTCTTACAACACCCAGGCACACGAGCAGACCGCAGGCCCACAGCTGCTTCTCATCACTTCAGAGGCTTTCTTAGCGGATGACTCAGCATGATTCAGCAGCCCTAATGGTCCCTTTGGGGAACCCATCTTACCAAGTATTTTCAGTACTTAGCCCATCTCATAGGCCAACAACATTCATAGTTCTTCTAGCTTCCTGTGTTAGTCCAGCTCAGTTCTGGTAAGTGTCCAGACATGTGTTAGGATAGGATTACAAAATTATGGAATTCAGCTTTAGAATGAAGAGATTCCCAGGCATGAAAGAAATTTCTGTGATTCAAAAGATTAATTAATTAAATGTTTATTTATTTATCTTGGGGGGGGGGAGAGAGAGAGAGAGAGAGAGAGAGAGAGAATCTTAAGCAGGCTCCATGCATCCAGGTGCCCCGGAAGTAAAAGATTATTTTAAATTTATTTCCATTCATTTGCAGAATGAAATTTGTTTAAGCAGTATTTGGTACTGAGAAAGTCATGTTATTAACTGATGAAGGAAGGAAAGGCCACAGTTGGAAGGTCACATAATGATAGAACCAAATGGACACCATGATATTTATTTACATCTCTTTGTTACGAACTATGTTATAGGCTCTGGGCAGTACCTGAACTATGTTCCAGAAGTTCCTTTATGGAAGTTTCTACCTCCTCATAATATAGCTCAGTTATTAAAAGCACATAAAAACTAAGTTACCATGAGGGGCGCCTGGGTGGCTCAGTCGGTTAGGTGTCCGACTTCAGCTTGGGTCATAATCTTGTGGTTTGTGAGTTCGAGCCCTGTGTCAGCCTCTGTGCTGACTGCTCAGAGCCTGGAGCCTGCTTTAGATTCCGGGCCCCCCTTTCTTTCTGCCTCTTCTCTGCTCGTGCTCTGTCTCTCTCTGTCTCCCAAAAATAAATAAATGTTAAAAAAAAAAAAGTTACCATGAGAGAATTCTTTTTTTTTTTTTTTAATGATTTTATTTTTAAGTAATCTCTGCACCCAGCATGGGGCTCAGACTTACAACCTTGAGATCAAGAGTCTCATACTCCACTGAACGACTGGGACCAGTCAGGCTCCCCACCATGAGAGAATTCTTTTTTTTTTTTTTTTTTAGAATCCTTGATATATCTCTGGAGGCAGGCCTGCACTTGGGAGTTCCCAGTCATTGGTGTTATCTCCTGGTGCCTGGTTAAGGCACAGGCAGGCAGGGTGGAAATCCTAGAATGCTGGTTTCTCTGGTCACCAGAAGACTGGTAACAGGTAGTTTACAATGCCTTGTTATTTCCACATTGCTTCTTACTTTGTATTCTTGTTGTATCTTATCTCTGTGACAAGGTTCATACATTTGCCTGAGTTTCCTGCCTGGTGTAGGAGGGCAGGCTGTCGAAGTCCACTGTTTGAAAGTGTTTCACTGAGATCACACTACATGATGTCCTTGCTTTTGTATTGCCTTTCAGAATTAAAGCCATAGAGAGTCCCAACAAAGAAGATGATACCCAGTGGCTGACCTACTGGGTGGTGTATGGTGTGTTCAGCATTGCTGAATTCTTCTCTGACCTCTTCCTGTCATGGGTCCCCTTCTACTACATGCTGAAGGTACGTTGGCTTTTCCTGAACTGCTCTGTTTCCATCTATGTGTTTGCTTTGTGCCCTAACACTAAAATAAATTCCACCTCAGGACCTATCTACAAGGAATAGGAACAAATGCTTCAGTGTTGAAAACCTATGGCTCTGCCTCAGATTATAAATAGGAAGACAGAATTTGACACACCCCACTTATTTTGTATACTATCTTGGAAACAGTCAAAGCAATTGTGTATTCAAGATGTGTTTGGTAATAAAAGATGGAAATACTATGACCCAGCACAAGCATTGCTGTTAGTTTACAAGGTCCTCCCTTCAAGCAGTGTTCCCTAGGTTTGATGCAGAAGCACTGCACATTTTGGCAGGCCATTGATTTTTTATAGTGGTGTTCAGGAGTCATTCTTTCTTTTTTCTTTTTTTTTTTTTTAAAGTTTATTTACAGAGAGAGTGAGAGAGAGAGCGCGTGAGCCACAGAGGGGCAGAGGTGGGGGGAGAGAGAGAATCCCAAGCAGACTCTGTGCTGTCAGCAGAGAGCTTGACTCGGGGCTCTTTCTCACCAACTGTGAGATCATGACCTAAGCCAAGATCAAGAGTCCAACACTTAACTGATTGAGCTACCCAGGCACCCCAGGAGTCCTTATTTCTTGAAGAAAAAAAAACTTATATAGGTTTGGAGAATGAAGATGTGAAGTGGGCTCTGTGAGGAAGTCATTTTGATAACTTTGCCACACCTTGTGTTTGGCAGAGATGTAGCCTTGGTTACCACCATATATTGTTGTTTTTTTATTTTCCCTGGAACTAATCGTTGTTTTCTTATTTATATATTCAGACCTATTTCGAGGGTCCTGTTAGTTCAGTTTGTCTTACTGTTTCTACATTTCTGCTTACTTTTAAAATGTTTTGTCTAAAGAAATTTAGATAAAGAAAATTAGATGCAGGAAGCTCTCATTCTTTGGTCTCCCTCATCCCACCTACCAACATGTTGATGTTGTCTTGATTTTTAATTCTGGGCAATTATGGATACATTTTTGCTTTATCTCTGGCCTTAGCTGTTTTTACAATCTATATATTTATTCATATGTGTATGAATATATATATATATTTTACATATATGTAATATATATATATTTTTTTAATCTTCCCTTCCAGATTTCAAGTTTATTCCATTCTGTTATACATGCTACACATTGTGTTCTTTATTTCAACTCTTTTTCATATCTAATATTTTTCCTTGGCTCTTTCCTATATTTTCTTGTTCTTGTTTCTTACTGCTCTGTTTCTTCTAACATAGTTGGCAATCCAGCTTAAAAGTCTTGGTTAGTTAGTTCTCATATTTCTATTGTTGATAGAATTTGGTAGTTGATTGCGTTGTCTTTCTTTTGAAATGGTTGTACTTTTCAGATCTCCTGTTATTTTGGCCCGTAAGCTCATTTTCCTCTAAGAGTATCAGCTGTTCTGTTAGGCACTGGGATGGAGGAAGACCACATGCCAGGCCACGCTGGTCCCAGGAAGCTGTGGGTAGGGGTGGATGTGTCCTAGGGTAGGGAGTCCCAGACAGCAGACGAACTGTGGTTCATAGCCCTTCTCCCACTAAATAGCCCCACAGGCCGAGGGCACACCCTTTGCTCTCCCAGCAGCATTAGGAGGCAATGCTCAGCTGTAACGTACAGCTCAAGGGGGCAGACCAGGAGGGGATGGAAGGAGCTGCCCTGGCACTTAGTTCCACTCAATTTCCTCACAGCCTCACAAGGACAGGACTTCTATGCCAAAACTTCTGTTTTAGGGGCGCCTAGGTGGCTCTGTCGATTGAGTGTCTGATTTCAGCTCAGGTCATGATGTTGTGGTTTGTGAGTCCATCCCCCATTGGGCTTGTTGCTGCCAGTGTGCGGCCCACTTTGGATCCTCTCTCTCTCTCTATGCCCTCTGCCCTCCCCTGCTCTCTCTTAAAAATAAGTATTTTAAAAATGGGCAGGAGACCAGAATAGATATTTTTCCAAAGAAGACATACAGATAACCAACAGATACATGAAAACATGTATCTTTCCTAATCATCAGGGAAATGCAAATCAAAACCACAGTAAGATATCACCTCACACAACTCAGAATGGCTAGTGTCAAAAAGACAAGAAATAACAGGTGTTGGCAAGGATATGGAGAAAAGGCAACCCTCATGTACTGTTATTGAGAATGTAAATTGGGGCGGCCACTATGGAAAACAGTATGGAAGTTCCTCAAAAAATTAAAATTCTATACCATATGATCCAGTAATTCCATTACTGGGTATTTACCCAAAGAAAAATGAAAACACTAATTGAAAAAGGTATATATATGTATGTGTATATACATACACATCTTTGTTTTTTGCAGCATTATTTATACTAGCCAAGATATGGAAACAATCTAAGTGTTGTCAATAAATGAACTAATAAAGAGGTGGGGTGTACATACACACAATGGAATATTACTCAGCCATAAAAAATAATGAGATCTTGCCATTCACAACAACATGGATGGACCTAGAGGGCCCATAGATGTAACTGTGCTAAGAGTAGTAAGTCAGAGAAGGATACTATATGTGACTTTACTTACATGTGCAATTAAAAAAATGAACAAACAAAAACTAGAAGCAGACTCATAAACACAAAGAATAAACTGGTATTGCCGAGGGAGGAGGGTGAAGGGGATTGGCAGGTACAAACTTCCAGTTCTAAAAAAATACAACAGAGGAAATACAGTCAATAGTATTGTAATAGCTCTGACCGGTGACAGACATAACTCTACTTGTGGTGAACACTGCATAGTGTATATTAACTGTCAGATCACTGTGTTGTACACCTGGAACTAATATAGTATTGTATGTCAGCTATACTTCTGTTAAAAAAAAAAAAAGACTTGGAAAAAAACCTGTACACCCATATAGTTAAATGGAATGAAATGATTCACATCTATGGAAATGTTTACATAATTCATTAATTATAAAAAATTGCTGGGGTGCCTGGGTGGCTCGGTCGGTTAAGTGTCAAACTTCGGCTTGGGTCACGATCTCACGGTTTGTGAGTTTGAGCCCCGTGTCGGGCTCTGTGCTGACAGCTCCCAGCCTGGTGCCTGCTTCAGATTCTGTGTCTCCCTCTCTCTCTGACCCTCCCATGCTCATGCTCTGTCTCTCAATAATAAATAAAAACGTTAAAAATTTTTTTTAAAAATTGCTAAACATTATATACAGTGGGACACCACTTATGGTAGAACAAAAACAAAGAGCTACATAGTTAAAAATGAAAACATGCTCATTATAATTTCTTAATTTTGAATAACATTACTACAGAACGCCTTGTAGGATGGCTGAAGAATTTTTCTTTCAAGCAAATGTTTTTTAAAAACTCTGTGGTAGCATTTAAGATTTCAAAGGTTGCTGGATTTTCTGTGTTTTTGTTATTTAAAGATGTTTATCATTTACAGGAATATTTTCATAATCTTACCTGGATGTCACACACTTTCAACTACAAATAATTTTGAAGTTCTTCATAAGACCCATCTGATAGTAGTGGCCTCACAGTGCAGTCTCTAAAGGAAAGAGACCTGGCTTTTGCCTTGGGCCCACCTGCTTGCTGCAGGAACAGGGTCCGGACTGCAGAGCCACTCCTACCAGGAGGTGACTTCAGTCTTCCAGAACATGAGTGAGCCTGACTGTAGCCCGCTCCTGAGCTCTTCTGCTAAAGGAGGTCACACGAGATAAAGAGAGGATCCGAAATAAGAGATAATCACTAAATCATTTATATTTGGTTTTGAAGCACGTTACAAAAAGTGCTTTGCAGCAAAATTTTCTCCCCTAATAGTAAAAGGAATGTGCATCCATTAGTCGTCTCAGGGCATCCCTGAGAATTTACTGCGTGTTCCAAATAGATAATCCACTTGACATGATTAAAAATGGATCATGCTGTCAATCAAAATACTTTCTTCCTGTGTAGTGCATTTTCTGAGTGGCTTCAGAGAACACACTCAGAAGCAGCCTCTGAATTGCAGAGTGGGTAGGAGAATACCTCATGTTAAGGACTAGCATTGACCGTATGCCATTGTTATGATCACATGGTGATTGTTTGGAGTATGACAAAGAGACCCAAGTAAGGACATGTTTAATATTTATCTTTTGCAAAAAACTTATCTTTTGCAGAATTAACATTGTTGGCATCTCTCCCCATTTTTCTAAAGCAGCCTATGACTGGAGGAAAATAAGAGGAACCAATGATTAGGCATCAAAGATTAGTTGAAAAGATAGTATGTAATCTGTCAAGCTAGAAGAAGTAGACTGTGCCTACTCTGAGGTCTGTCTTTAAGCAGGAGGTTTTAGAAATAAATATAAGAGCATTTTTTCTCCCTCTGATTATAAAAGTATTGTATTTTCATTTTTTTATTCAGAAGATACTTATTTAGGACTTCTGTGTTCCAGAATCTGTTCTAGGTCAGAAGGATACTTTGGTGAATAAAACAAAGTCCCTGCTCTTGTGCTGTTTATACGTGTGTGTGTGTGTATGTGTGTGTGTGTGTGTGTGTGTTGGGACATGTTTTACACAGGGAGGAAAACAGCATTTGTAATCCACTGTTCACATGTTAGTCTTCCTATTTTTTTTAATGTGCAAGTATACTGGTCTAAGTACATAAAGACACAGAGAACCATGTATATATTATTGTTTTAACCATGTATGTATGGTTGTATCACATTTTATACATGATTCTGTATCTTGCTTGTTTCAATTAACATCATACTAGGAGTATTTTCTCATGTTATTTAATATTCTTTGACAGACTGATCCGTTACGATAGCAATTCCCCAAATGATAGACATTTAGGACATCTATCTTGCTTTATCGTATTTTAATGAATGCCACAATGAATAGCTTGGTACCTTCTCTTTACACTCATTTAGATCATTTTCTAGATTGGTTTTTTAAACAAGGTTGAATAAACTCCAGTGACTCTTAGTCCTGACCCAGACTGTCACCTGTACTACCTTACCT